GAGATGCAGAGGAATTCATCTTCCACATGGACTGCAAGCAATCGTTGGGGGAGCATAACCAGCGCTTGCCTATCCGACGCAGGGTAGAGTCCATCGTCGTAAGGACTTGGTTCACCCAATTTCTTACATGCACTGACCCAGTGGGTAGAAGAAGACAGCAGAGGGAGCCAACAAGTACGCGCGGATGCTCGGCGCCTTTCACACCGCGGATGTGGGGCGACGCGCTGGGGAGTTGGATGCAAAAGCGGTGAGGGCGTCAGCGCATAGTGGCAGTACCCAGGCGGCTAGCACAGATGCTGTGAACAGGTCCATGGATGCGAGTGTGAACGGACATGCAAGAGAAGCTGAAAAGGATCGAGAATGGGAGTTGGTCGCATCTTGAGGGCACAACTATCACCCGTACATGAGGAGACAGTTCTTGGATACAATACCGTATCAGATGATGCTGAAAGTATTACGCTTTCTCGTATTCCTCAAACGAGAACAGTTTAGGCGACCTTGACTATTGAGCTAACATCGCGATTCCGTCTAGGTTGTGTGAGCTTATCCGGTTCTATTGATATTCAATGGCCACAATGACGCACCAGTAGTTCACGAAGCTGAGACATGCACCTCATACAAGAAAAAGCTGAACAGGTCTAGAGCCTACATCAACGCTAGGTCATCTGTTTTGTACGCTTACATGTTAATGTAGGCTGCAGGCCTGTTCAGCTTTTTTCTTAGTTAACGTGAATGTATTTCATTTTCATGGTTTGAATGGCTCTGTGGCTTTGAGCTTGTTGGATCTCTTGTATCCATAGCATATGACTATTTGATGCGTTGTACTGGCGAGATCTTTGCGTTATCTCCACTGCCAATTATTTCCAAGTGATAAGGCTTTAAAGCGATACAGCTCAGTATAGCATCGCGTAGGAAGCGCAACTACTAGCTGAGAGTGTCGTAGAAAGATGACAACTTCACTTTCTTCGCACACATGTGAGCCAGACCCAATGACATGCCGTATCTCGACTGTATCGAAAGATTGCGCCTGGCACTTGATGTCCGCCGCATGCTGGTCTTGGAAATGGAGACATAGGGAGGTAATAGCATGATAGCATTGTGGAAACAAGTGTCGCGTACCAAGCTTTGCCCAAATGCTTGTGAACCGTCCGGCGCATCGTTCGCTGGTATTCTTGACGTAATCGGCCACAGATGTCGGAAGCTCGGCAAGTATCGATATCGTGTGCGCTGGGGACTCAGACTCTGAGTTCGCTCGTTTCATCGAGATGTCATCCATGGAGACGCATCTTTGACCCTACGCGCGGGAAATCTCGGGACGCAGGTGGAGTCGTGCAGAAGGGTACCTTGACTGGGGGTTTCGGACGGCCTGATCAACACGATCCAGTCACCTCGCTGTGGCCGAGAGAAGACGGCGTCTTGATCATCGGTGTCGCTGCTTCTTGAACCGCGAGAGTGCTTTTGGATGACAGGGGATTCGCTGGTTTGGTGAGAAGGCGGCGCCGTGGCTGCGACGCCGACGCTCCTGGTGTAGTCGGGGTAGAGCTGTGGCAAGGGAATCTTTTGTTTGTATCTGGTAGGTACGCCTTCCCAAAGATCCCGCATGTAGTCTTCCTCCGGTGTAGAAGCGCCCATGGTCATTCTGCCCTCGCGATGCGCCTTCCCATGTTCGGTGCCGCAATGCTTCGCCAAGATCGCTTCCGGTGTATGGGCAGGACGCGACTCGATAGCATCACGGCCGTAGTGGTCTCTTCTATGTTCCATTTGATCAAGGAGCAAACGTAGGCTCTCGTCAAGATCCAGGACGAAGTCAAAGTCGTATGACCCGGCCCAGTCGGGTGTAGCCGGTCGAGTGATGAGGCAGCGGCCTTGTGTTTCAACTACCTGCGCTGCCATGTATACCGCATCGGTATCGAAGCTGCCGAGGGACATCGTGGGGAAGCTGTGGGTGGTTGCGAATTAAAGCGCTGGTCGTGTAGTGATTGATGTCGTCTAGGCCGCCGCTCCAGCTCCCGAATGTGAATTATGGAGTGGGGCCGTGGGTGGAGTCAGGTGACCGCTGCAAACGCTCAATTCCTGATCGAAACTGCGACTTCTGTCTGAGTGAGGCACAATAGCTTCAGCACGCGCAGATGACTCTTCCCATGTTCAAGGGCGCAACACAAACATCATGGCACCACTTGCGACATTGACAGCAGTCAACGCTACCGCCGAATTGGCGTTCTATTGTGTCGTCAATCGGTTTCTGCAAGTACATCCAGGATATCCCATGGTAATTCGGTCGGAGGGTGGCATTCGGATGTGTTCTGCAACCACTGTTTACACCATGGTTTTTTTCGGTACAGACTTTGCCAGAACCGGACTAGCGTGGGCGATGCCCCTCGTCTCGTCCTCCGGGCCCTACCCTCATCTTCATCTCTCCCTCATGCTCGGTCTCCGCGGCTCGCGGCGCTCTTCATTCGAATTGCGCTGGCTTTCATCTAGGTGTCCGTCTCGCTCACCCCTGTCCGCGCCGTGTTCCTGTCTCTGCCATGCCAAGTTCAACGGCCGCGCAACCGGTGTCCGCATAACGGCTTCTAGATCTTACCTTCCACGCTGATACGTCTGCGACACTCTATTTCCAGGAGGAGGGACACGTTCAAACGTGCGGCAGAAGACTGAGCGGGAGTTGCGAACGTCGCCCAACTGGTAAGGCGCCCTACGCATTAACCGTAGCGCTCCGCCTCGTTCCCAGGTTAGTTGGGAGAATTCCTCCAAGGGGTGCAACCCTGGTATCGCGGTCAACACGCACATCGGTTCGGAGTGGTTGCACGGTCAACGTCTCTCACCACCGAACCCATTGTACCACCATGTCCACGGCAATATATTCTCCAGCACGAGCTGCATCTTATCACCCAAAATCTCTCGCACGCGCGATCCCTGCCAGGGGCTAAGCGACTCTCCAGCGTCAAATATGGGGAGGTGGCTGCTTACAGCCGCCAGCCACGCTATGCAAGCCATTTACGCCCCATCCGCAAGCAACATCTACAGTACATGTCTCAGCCGCCCGATCGAGACAGGCTTGCGAGGTGCGTACGTCTTTCATCCTCAGCCTCGCTGTCCACGACCTTAGAGCAGGATTGCCTACGTATGTATCAACAACAGCTTCCTTTAGTCAATATGTATAACGGTGAAATGCCCCGTGGGTTCATTGCCCGCACAAAACATCACAGATATCTACATCTGCTTCCCGTGCTGCTCATACCATGAGATATACACTTGCGCTTCTCAGCGCCTTCCTACTGCCCTTCCACTGCATCGCTTCACCCACACCCACGTCAATACCCTCCCCAGCCACTGCCGCTAGAGATGTCATAAGTTCCGTGCCATCAGCAACCGCTCCGCCTTCTCGTCGCGATGACGACTTCGCACCAGACATTGCGCCGTTCTCGTTATACCTCTCCACAATATCGATCGCAGAACCTTCCATACCATCACTCTCACTCGACCTTCCACCTGAGACCTGCACGCCTGGTTTCAGCTCATACGCCACTCCCGGGCTCGATGGCTACGTGCCTGCGGAGGCATGCAATGCGTTATGGGTATACTTTCCCAACTTCGCCGCGGCAGTAGCTTTCTCCGTGCTGTTTGGCATGCTCACCATCGTACATCTGGTTCAAGCAATAGTGTACCGCAATGGCTTCTGCTGGGTTATTATCATGGCCGCTCTTTGGGAAACTGGCGCATATGCGTTTCGCGCTCTTGGTTCCAAGGACCAACAATCCTCTGGCATTGCAACGGTCGCTCAGATCTTGGTGTTGGTAGCGCCTATCTGGGTGAACGCCTTCGCCTATATGGTCTTCGCCCGCATCGTTCACTTCTACTCACCCACTCGCAAGGTCTGGATCTTCTCCCCCTCCATCCTCGCACTCATCTTCGTCACCCTCGACATCGTCTCTTTTGTCATACAGCTCGTTGGCGGTGGAATGGCAGGTCCAGGTGCAAGTCTGGAAGCACAAAAGAAGGGCTTGAACATATACATGGGTGGTATCGGTATGCAGGAAGGCTTCATTGTTCTGTTTCTGGGGTTGGTCGTCAAGTTTCACCGCGACCAGCTCCAGGCGGAGAGGGTGGGACGCTTGCCCGCGGACAAGATTGGTGGCTGGAAATGGTTGCTGTACGCGCTGTACGCATGCTTGCTGGCTATCACTATTCGCATCATCTACCGTCTCGCCGAGTTCTCCGCCGGTCTTGGCGCAAGCAACCCTCTGCCGAGCAACGAGCCTCTCCTGTACGTCTTGGAGTCAGCTCCAATGTGGTTAGCCATCTTTGTGTGGAACATAGTCCATCCCGGTCGCTTTATCCGTGGCCCAGACGCCAAGATGCCGCGTTCGTGGCTGTCACGTCATCTTTGCTGCTGCTGTGGCAAACGTCGTTGCGACGACTGCAATGGTAAGCTTGGCCACGCTGGACCTCATCATCAACGCCTAGGAGACGACTCGGATCTGGAAGACAACCAGGAAATGCATCCCGTATCGAAGAGTGCCGGAGGTCATCATGCCGTCAGCCCGACAAATCCTTTCCTGGATGAAACATCTCGCGACTCTTCCTCGAATTCCGACTCCAGGGAAGGGCACCGTCTTCGCCCTTCGTCGGCTGCCGCAAATTTCCGCGATGTCAGCCCAGAGCCAACATCATATACTGCATACCGTGCTCGTGGGGTTCTGGGCTAAGCGGAATTAGTTCAACTCCCTTAGCTCATTCCATTGGCAGCGGGTTCATTCGAGGACAGACAGTATACATTGGACAAGAATGAAGAGAAGTTATTGAGTGGATCAGTGGTGGCTGTAGAACCGTACAATCATATGTAGGTATATATCATGGACTTGGGTGAACAAGAAGCAATGTTAGAGCTATCACAAAATGATCTGCCCGTGAGCCATGCCCGCCGTTTCGACTGTGTCTCTTCCGGGGAAAGAATAGACCCAGTGCATCCTTGGTCTACGTCTGGGCGATCTCCAGGTTCAATGAGGTGGCGGGTTCATGCATGTTACCCCGTGCTTCACGCAATGATTGAACGTAACCTCCCCATCAGCACCAACACCAAACTCGACGTCTTCGTTGATACACTTCAAAGGAAGAGAGATAGGCGGCTTCAAAAGCAGCGGGAGGATTCCGAGTTTAAGGCCTCTCTGGTGGTAATCGTGAGTGCTCATCTTGACGTTGCAAAGCGAAATATCGGCCTCGAGAGTCATGGCAATGAAAGACTGCTTACCGGCTAGCTTGCCATGCATGATGGACACTTCCTGCTTCATTGCCCCCCTTCGTTCAAGCCAGTCCTTCCCATTGGACTTTGAGCCGATCACAACGGCGAGGTCCAAGTAGTCTAGGTGCCCGTGGCGAAGGTATTCGAGCTCTGCGCGACGAGGACAAATCTTCATGGACTGCATCTGGTCTGGCGCTTCTGTAGACCATCCGCCTTCCGAGGAAACCGGATCCACTCCGTCACCTCTCCATGCGATGTTGGAGATACGCTTGGTTGGTGCGGGCGGAAGTCGTGGCGGCAGCGGCACTCCGTAGAAGCCGTTGATGAGCTTCTCGAGGGAGTTGTTGTTGGCCATAGCTCCAGAGCTGGTTATAGTTTGTGGGTGTGAAATAAGAGTTATGAGTTGATGAGATAGAAAGTGGAGTGTAGGAGTCTTGGTTGTCTCGAGCCTAGTGAAGTATATTGTCTACTTGCGCGCGTACGGAGCGCTCTTCTACCTTAAACTTTAAGTAGGAGAAGCATTCAAGATTATGCTACTCCCGGCAATGCTAAATTGCTTATCGCCAGTGTAAACTGGGAGGCTCATAATACGCGGCAAGCCTTCTATTTGACTCGCCATGTGGCTTGACGCCTGCGTAAAGACAAGACTCGGACTCGCACAAGCCCAATTTGAACATCTGTTCGATGTCAGGTTCATATTGGTATGATATTCGCGTGACGGCCAAACGGGGGTCAAGCGAAGCTGAGACTCAGTGCGGGAAATATCAGTAGCATTCTCATCTGCCGCTCAGCCGGTGCTATCACATCATCTATCTAAGTCTACGAATGGGTGTTTGGATGTCGTGCACTTCGGGAATGATGGGTGTCTTGCAATTTGGGGAATGATAGTCGATGTCGACGACGAGCAAGCTGGTCAGAAGTGCAACTTGAGCTGATGGCATTCCCCCTCCACGAACCATGCTTCGAGGCCCGAGAACATGCTGCGGTTTTCCCGGAACGTCAAACGACCAAGGTGTATGCCCAAGGGCACCGTTTGACTCTCTTTCACTGCATATACCAGAGCACCACTGTCGCCTGGGGCGGCGAACGGGGTGCATTCAGCGATCCAGCCAACGATGCCGGTCCACTTGTGCATGTCGTGCCGTTATAATTTCTCCAAGGAAATTCCGAGATCCTTGATCTTGAGCTTTTCGTCGGGGGTTTCTCTGACCTCCTGCTTCGCAAGCGAGAACTACGCATCTTCCATGCTGGAGTGTATGTTCGTAAAAATACCGAAGGTTTTGCCCGTCGTGGGACCCTCCTTGTACACGCGGATGCCTGATCTCTGCTGTATCAGGCTGTTTATTTGGAAGGCACGCGTGGCCTCCCTCTCCATATCAAATTCTCGCGAATGCCCGTTGGCTCCGTAGTAGTGGAGGTTTACCCGGGGTAAAGCGGCCTCGATCTTGTGCTTGTCGTCGTCCTGAACTTTGAGGATTCCCACTTCTCTGGCCATCTTGCTTAGCGGATCAGGATAGCGCGCAGGTGGTCGGCCTTGATCTTCTCCAGGGTGAGCCGATGCTCAATCTCGAAGGTATATTCTGTGGTAAGTGCATACAGGCCTGCCCCGATATCATCCAGGCCCATACTTTTCCAATCCCAGGAGAGGTACCGTTGCGGTCGACGATGCGATCCCCAGTATTCAGTGCAAGGATCTGACGCCCGCTTGCCATGTTCGAGTGTGCAGTCTTGCGATCCACAACCATGGAGACGACGTTGACCCAACCCAGCAGCAATGTTTGCGTCTCAACCGCTTGTCTGCTCCAAAACACACTTCAGCACGTCTCATGATCGTCTTTGTCGCTTTGTAGTCGTCAGGGTGTAAAAAATGGGGTTCGATATGCGGAGGTTCCGAAGCCACACAGTCCGGTTATTTTGGCCTCTAGCATGTGACGAAAGTGTTGACTTCAGCGTTCGCTTCAGCCGTGTCGCAGTATTGGTCGAGAACCGAGCGACGTGCCAATTTTCGCTTTGTCGGTAATGAAGACAGATTGCCGCACGAGCAGCACCCGTGCGTCGGCAGTACAACAAGTAGTTAAAAGGCCGTCTATCGATCGAAATTTTTTGGGCTGTTGTTGTCGCGCTCGCGAAATCGACTTGGGGAACTGACGATGTTAGAGGTGTCGCAATGTTGAGAGTCCATGTGGTCGGTCGAGAGGTTATCTCACTGCTTGGTGCGTGTAGGGCCACTCCTCCGGTCAATGCCGCGACGAAAAGGTCCATCACAGCTTTCGAGCGAGTGTCAGCAGCTCCGTGACCGTGCTACGCATGATGGCCAATCGCAAACCACTCCGAGCTAGATCCGCGCCGTTGAGCAGCTTGAAGATCAGCATACGGCCCGCACCGCGTTCGCGGCCCCGCCCAGTCGAGGACAGTCATCCCAACAAGTCCACCAGTGAGGGCGAAGGTTGAGGAGCGCCGTGCAGATGTCTGTCGCAATAGGTTTTGCTTGGTTTCGTCCGGTTCCAACGCGAGTCGAGTAAACCGTTGTAGACGCGATGGCTCGATGGGAGAGACGAGTGGGGCAGGTGGCATGCTGTCTCCGGTCTCCCGAGCCTCACCCATTTCTGGCAGCTGCATCGTCGCTCACCACGTGTTCAGCCCAACACATGAATGTCACAAATGGACACGATAATGCAAGGAAGGATATGCGCAATGGATTTGGAAAAACTTGGGTCGTTGCATGCTAGTCAACGAAGGGCGCATACGACACCTTCATTTGTGCGGACTGCGGCCAGGGCATCTTGAGAAGAAACTGGGAGAAGCTCGGTGCAATGTGTGCTGGTATTCATATTTACATAATATGAAGACTAAACCAAAAACGGTGCCATATAACACATTGCCGGGACCTCAATCTCCTACTCCAAGGCGTGAGCTGAAGAGGAGCTCACAATCGAGCGGCATTCATGCTTCTCACGATGAGCAGCAGGGCAACATCCGGAACAACTTGCGCGACCTCCTTCGTCCCCATCACCTCCGCCACTGGCTTTGTGGTCGTTGTCTTCTTGCGTCCGATGGCAGTCGCGCTACCACTGGCACCCGCGTTTCCAGGCAAGCTGTGGCGCCCGTGATCTTTAACTTCCTCTAGGATTGTGAGAGCTCGTCAATCTGATCTTGCGGAACGTAACTCTCAGCGGAATCCCTCTGCCTCTTTCGGGTTCGTGGTATCGATGTGTGGTTGCTGTTGGGTGCCTTTGACTTCGAGGTCGACTTGGGTGTTGCCACACTCCTACGAGGCGTCTTTGGATTCGCCGTGGCTTGGGTGGTGTGAGAACGGACAGAAACCGATCCGCGAATAGCGAGTGCTGACATGCGTCTAGCCTCTTTCAATTCGTGACTCGCCTTCTCTATAGCGCGAGCCTTTTGCCAAAGGGGAAGTGCGTCCTTGATAGCTTGGAGCCGATCCGCAAGCGCCCAGTCCAGGTGGCTCTTCAGGATCGCTTGGGCCTTCGCGATCTGCTCCTCCATAGACAAACTGCACGAGTACAGTTCTTTCATAAAGTATTTTCCATTGTCACCCCCTTCGCTCCAATGTAGCCAGAGCTGTAGCAGCATCATATCGCATGTGACGGACATGTGCATCGTGTAGGCCGAAGTCGCAGGTATGGTATCGCCGTACGCGGACTCGAAGTATTGCCGATGGTAATTTACGATCGTCGCGCCGTGGAGAGCAGACTTCTTCATGGCGATAAGGATGGAATGTCCGTCTGCTGCCTCCCACTCGGCAGTGAGGAACGGGAAGGATAGTTCGGGGTTCAGCTTGAAACTAGCAATCTAACGTCAGCATGGAAATCTGGCGAGTGATCGTCAACTCACTTCTCCAGGAGCTCGTTATCCTCTTCCGTCAACCCTGAGTCTACACGGGTCTCGGTATCGCGGGGATTCAAGTACCCGATGGCGAGATCCGGTTTATATCTCAAGGCTTCCGAATCGGAACTTGGTGGGATTGGGACAAAGTCTGTCGTCAGGGTATAGTCGTGGCTGATATCGATGTTGGGTATGCCACGTGCGTAGCCGGTTCGCTCTCCCTGGAAGAGCAGCAGCGGTTCCATCATGTTAATGGCACTCTTCTTGTCGTTAGAGCGGGCCTCCCGATGCTGATAGACGATCTCTTGTGCAGCATGAGCTTGTTCAGGCATGACCGGCGCGTTCAGCATTTGCTCCACACGCTCACTCAGCTCTTGTGGGAACGCCTTGTCGGCACAGTCGACGATCAGGTTGTGTTCGACTAGCTCGTCGATTGTGTGCCTGAACCTTTGGGAGGACGGGGTGGTTGGGGGTGCCATGTTGAACGAAGACGGATAGATCAGTAGGGCGAGTGAAAAGATCGATGACTGGCTGGCGCTTGTCTAGCAGTCACGTCGATCATTCTGAGCTCAAGGTTGCAAAATGCAATTTGTTTGCGCGATCGCGAGAGATATGAGCGATACATGGCGCTAATCCCATGATGGACGATGTCTGCAGCTTTCCGCAAGGCGCCTTGTCGTTCTCGCAAGCCTGACTGGATCTTCTGGTATGAATGGACGAAGGAGCAAGTGTGCCTGTGGTTATATCGTAGCAAGCGATCATGGACGATAGTGATTTGAGATGCGAGAGTGGTGGCTAGGAATGGAGTTGTGGGGTGGAGGAGGACGCGCTGCGCGCCAACCCTGGGAGCCCCCCACACGCCAAGCGAGCTAGTGCGTGTCACCTGTACACTACCACACCACTCGAGATGAACGACATTGACCCGGGCAAGATTGTACAGCACGCACCACCAACATATGTGTGGACACTTACTCCTGGATGTGGACAGTGAGCCAAGTGCATCGCCGAGGCAAGTCACCATAGCGCCTTCCAACAGGCGCCAGATAGCTGGTTGACATGCAGGCATCGATCGAGCCGGGCACGACCTCAGAGCTCGACTATTCTCGCTTCGAACCAGCACCTCAACCTAGGGAAAACCTGGACAGGTCTGGAGCCTACATCGATGTTAGGCCACCTAGTTTGCAGGTTTTCTTCTTGATGTCGCCTCTAGGGTGTTCAGTTTTTCCCTTGTATGAGGTGCCAGCTCTCTCAGCGTCAAATCCGCGTCGCTTGCCACTTCACAGACTTACGGGCACTCGACATGCCTTCGCGAATCCTCTGCTGTCAACAATCTTTATCTATCAAGAATTCCACTCACGACACTGGCGCCACGAATACCTTTGGCATCCACTTCATTGCGTTACAGACTAGTTGGAGGTTCGCGGGGGATGGAACGAAGATCGCATGTGCCGTGCATGGGCGCTCCAGCTGTTCATTGGCGAAACGCGTAGTCACGTGCATGGCGGACCT